ACACATTGGCAGTGGAAGCCATTGCCCCTGTGACCTTTCAGCTATAAGACATTCACTGTTACTGCAAAGGCCTTGGTGCTCTGACAAGTTGACAAGGGGCTGAAAGAGCATGCATACATGTTTTAGGCATCGAGTTAATGTGTGTCTATCAACAAACAGTACTGTAAGTAAGGCGAGTGAGGTTTGTTGCAATCTTATTATCAGGCACATTGCTGCCAGTTTAATAGCCAACCACATAAAGAAACACAGTGATCCCAGAGACACATTTAAACCATCCACTAAACCACAGCACTACCCTACACCCACTCACGGTTATAGTGCAAGAAGATGGATGTTGACATATGAAAGTTATCAGGTTATAAAATATGGAATAATAAAATGAGCAGAGGGTACACTGCTTTCTGGGTTATTGCTCATATGTGCTATTTGTTGATGTTTTCCTAATGAACACTTGACAAGGTAAATGATACATTCGTTGACTCTTCTGTTCATCCCCGGTGAAATCTGAATTCTCACAGGATGACAGTTTACCAAAACATTGTCAAGCATGTTGTTTGTGAATTGATGTGACTTTTCTTCTTCTTTTTCACAACATAGAGTTTTTGTACTCGGGCACTTTACTAATCTTACTCCATATGCCGTTACAGCAATACCAGCTGGAGAGCGCTTCCTCTTACACATATCAGAGCTCACACTACAAACAGTGTGTATGACCCTTAACTCTTCTATTAATACGATGCTGCCGGTGTGAGAGTATGCATATTTTAACATTATGTTCCCTTGAAATTCTAACCATGGCTTAAGTAGAGTAAGACATATTTGTTATGCACTTGTTATACATCTGATATGTACTTAGGGATACAACTAAGGTGTTAAATGTGTACAATGAATCAAGGCACATTATTTTGTGGAAGAAATGTTTAAGTTAAAAAAAGAAACCTCCTTTTGACATGTTTTCTGATGACAACATTTCTATTTAACCGAGGCAGAGCCAAGTGGACCGTGCACACTGTACATCTTTGATTCAGCTTACCAAAGGAACACAACAGGCCCTGGGAAGATGGATTTGAAGTGAGGCTGTTTTCTCAGCTAATCCACAGTCTGAGGTATCAGCACACAAACTAAGCCACCACCCTATTACTCCGCCAAGTAACAATTAGGATGTTGTCGTCAATTAGCTCCCTGTGCCCACAACAGCCTTCTTAATGTCCCATAAAACACAAACACACCTATTGACCTTGTTAGAAGCAGACATCCAGAAGATGAAGCCCAATTTGGACAGCCTCTAAAGAGCTTAATGGGACTTTTATTATGTTAAAGGCTGAAATTCAAAGCTTTAACACCTGCTTACCAATCCAATGACACAGAGCATATCAATAACTAGGGATGCTCCGATCAGGGTTTTTGGGGCCGATCACCGGAATCAGTATTGACCGATACCGATCGCCGATCCGATCATAGGGTGGGCGGGGGCTATGGGGATCTTCCATTTAAAGTGATGTTTAAAACTCAGTTGGTGGAGCTCATTTTTATATCGCTTCAGTTTATAATAGTAACGGATCAAAAAGTTCAGATTAATTTTTCAATACATGATGCGCTTCCACAAACAACAACCAACATAATTATTACATCAAATGAAATACATTATTCAAGTTTACATTAACTTTGGATAATAACACGGGAGAAATTAGCAGAAGCGCTCTCTTTTTCTCTTTTCCTCTCTCCCTCCCCTGACAGCCCGTCAGTATCTCATGCAGCTCACTGACCCAGTAATGAGTGACCCAGTGAAGAATAAATATATTTATAACTAGTTTAGCTTGTTCCAGAGGTAGATAAACTAAGTGTGTTAGGTCTACCTCTTAGTGTGTGTTCGCTCCGCTCATCGGTCCGTCACGGCGGGTGGAGCTGCAGGATTTATGCTTCACACACACGTTACATACCGCTATTTCATTGTCTTTTTCGGACACCTTAAAATACTGCCAGACCGGTGAAGCCATTTTGGCGAGCTTGTTTTGCCGCGCACAGAGAAAAGTGTCATGTATTTTACGTCATGTGATCGGCTCTCCTGATCGGCCTTTATAGAGAGCATAGATCGGAGCATCCCTATCAATAACTATATAAAATCAGTGTTTCCCACAGATCTGAAATATACTTGGGCGGGGTGGTGGCAGCGGGCGGGGGGGCTGCGCAAAAAAAAAAAAAAAGTTTTCATTTTGTATAATCATTTTGTATAATCATTTTGTATAATCATTTTGTATAATCATTTTGCGTAAAGATGGCACTCAAGGGCACACTAGTGGTGGTGTTCCTGGCGGGATTTGAACTCACAGCCTTCCGATCTTCAGCCCACCTCACTATCCATTAGATCAATCACTACCCTCTCAAATGGAAATATGTGTTTACATAAATGGTGACCACACCGTTTGAGACCCACTGAGAACTTAAACTAAGTTAACTATCTAAACACTCAGAGAGTCCTTTACCTCACCTGAGCTGAGGTTATCCCGAGCTTGAATGACACACAGAGACCAATCAAGGGCTTTGATTTATGATCTCTATGACAGTGGCCATGTTGGCAGGCCACATCATGTATTGTAGACAGCCAGTCACCCTGTGTGAGGCAGGCCACTTAACGAGGCGAGATCAGAGCAAGGGAGCGAGGGATCATTGTCCACAAGTTAATCGATCGCAGATGGCGTCGTGGTCACAGACGAATAAAAAAAAAAAAATACAAAAAAAACTTATTAAAAAAAAAAGGGTCGCGAAATATACTTGGGCGGCCGTTAATATACCTGGGCGGCCCGCCCAAGTATAGTCTATGTGTGGGAAACCCTGAAAATGCATTCAAGAGTCGAAAGATTTACATCCTATTTGTAACCTGCTGGGACAAAACCCAGGGAGGCTTGATTAAAGTTACATAGTCTGCCTCCAGTCATTAAACAAACACTTTTACTCTGTGTATCATAGCCCACGGGCACAAAATGTACCCTAAGATGTCAGATTACCTCTAAAGAAGAAATGTCTCCTTGAAAAAATGTTCTTATTATTTCATAGAAAGAATAGCTTGGGCTCTTGTTCTTACTAAGAGTATAAGAGAGTGACAGATATGTGTGCTGCACAGATGGTATGGGATACACCTGTGACCAATAGGTACAACAAATGGACAACAAAAGACATTGTCGGATTTGCTATATGGATGGCTTAATGATCAGGGAAATAAGTGACACAACAAGTTATTGGATAATACTGTAATATGGTAAAGTCAGATAGAAATCTCAAATAAAAGCAAAAAAAGACTCGCTCACTTTTTGTCCTGATCCATTTATATAAAAACCTGTCTGAAAATGAACTGATCAGATTTTGGCCACTTTGTGATGTCATAACGATTTTCTGTGTAACCATTAGCCAATAACCAACCACCAAGGTAACCCCCCCACCTTATCACCTGAATCTCCTCCTAGAGCACCATTGTGTTCTTTTTAACCAAGTATCTCTCAGAGGGGCGTGGGGAGTGGCTCCTTATTTTCATCTAAAGTAACACTTCAGAGACATGTTTTGTATATATCTGAGACCTATCATATATTGATGAAAAACAGTATAATAGGTGACCTTTAAATATTGCACCCACCCATCAAAGAGCATGGCACTTATACTGTAGGTGGAGAAAACTGAAATCCAACATTAATTGATAATGGAAAATAGGATTGAAAATAATTGAAATTATCTTTTATTACCAATTAATATACACTAGGGGTGTAACGGTACACGAAACGAAATTTTGAGGTTACAGGCGGAACGTCTTGGATACTCTCTGGAGTACATTTTTTATACGGGGTAGAGAGGCTGTGTTGAAGGAGGCACGTCAGGAGGTTGCTCGCAAGCCCGTATAAAGCCCGTACCGAAATTATTCGGTACGGGCCCTTCGGTTCGGTACACGTGTGTACCGAACGAATATAACGTTAAACGTAAAATATTGAGAACGTGAACAACTTTTTGTAAGTAATTTCAGGTGCTGCGTCGTAATTTGCTCACATTGGGTTTAACGCGTCATAGTCATTTAATTGGACGAGAGGCATGCTATGAGAGCTGACCACAGGGATGCATTCAAATGTAGTCAGTAATTTGAGGAACTGTCGAAATGGCGAACGCAGATAAAGTTGAGCTCGAAAATCCTCCAGCATCATTGAAGTCTCCGGTTTGGGAACATTTTGGTTTCGCAGTTACGTATAAGGATGACGGACCGGACAGGTGGACCGAACCAAAGCTGTTTGTCGGCATTGTTCAACTAAAATTGGTTACGCGGCTGGCAATACATCAAACTTGCACACTCTTGAAAAGGCATCACCCGAACGTGAATATCACCGGTACCAAAAGAAAAAAGACTGAAGTGCAAACCCAACTCCCACTAGCATTTAAGCCTCCACCACTCGCAGAAAGTTCAGACCGAGCCAACGCTATTACAAACGCCAAATATCCTTATGTTTCCATGTTAGCGAAGCGCTACCTGGCTGTATCTGCTACCTCTGTCCCTAGCGAGAGGGTTTTCTCCACAGCAGGAGACATTATTAGTGCCAGCAGATCTGCCCTTTCGGCAAGCAATGTGGACAAGTACATTTTTCTTTTAAAAAACACGAAAATACAATGACAAGCAAGTCCTAATGTAAAACTGTCTGCTTAGGTACTAGTACAGTACAGTTAAAATACAGATTATTTCAGTTCATCGAAATGCTGCACCTTAATGTTTATTTTATTATATTTTGTATTTATTTGAGTGATTGTTCACAGGTTAATAATAAAAAAAAAATTCAAATTTATTTTTTATGTTTTGTGATAATTTTTTCTGCTGTACCGAAAACGTACCGAACCGAACCGTGACCTAAAAACCGAGGTACATACCGAACCGAAATGTTTGTGAACCATTACACCCCTAATATACACACACGTAACAAGAACAACACTCATGCTTGGACAAGCGCCTGTTCAGCACAACAAATACATACCTTTTACAATGAGGTTGAGGAGCTTTGGTCGTGGGTTGCGCTCACTCTGAATGGAGCATGTGTACTGGCCGTCGTCAGAAACATCCACTTTCTGTATCTGAAGGCTGTGTACTCATGTTTGTCTCCAACGCTGGACACAATGGACACACGTGGGTCCACAGACCACTTGTCGTTTCCTGCGAATATGATGCTTGAGCGGTTCAGCCAGGCTCCTTTAGAGATCCCATCCAATAGGTAGCACCTAGAGGGACAAGAGACACTTCAGTTAGATCTGGAGAAAGGCTCTGAAACACCACTGAGGAAAGAAGATGTGTTTCTTGCTGACTAAAGACTATTTTATCCATTAGAGACGTTATGTCTCTCGATAGTAAATATTCTCTCAGGCCTCAGCAGACTATTTTCGCAGTTAAACATAATTGTGTGTGTTCTGAGATTTGAACTACAAACAAAACCTGAAGATGCTTTCCTTATATTGATTTTGTAATGCAAAAACAGGATATGGACCAAGGGAAGTATCACATTTTAGTGAAAGGCAGAAATGTGTAATGTACCAGTCAGAGCATCATAAAAGACAGACATTTCAGCACCTCAATGTGACTCAACCAAGCTGCGTTAAGATTCGTTTTGACTCCAGACTAAAATAGCCAGAGCTATGACTAATAGCTGTGCATAAATATGGGTTCTTGTTGCTGGTGGACCTTTGAAACGGGCAAATAAATATGGTGATAGTCGGCTTCTTTTTCCTTAATTCCTTTTATGTCCAGGTCATTGAAAGGTCTCGTTCAGCAGACATAGATATCTGTATGCAAGAACTTGATTTAGAGTGCTTCATGGCTTCAAAATGTTTGAGATTTATATATATTTTTTTATAAATGTTTTCCTCTCAATCATTAATAACATTTCCTGCATCCAACCCTGTGAAATATAATGTAAGAAACCACTTAGAAAGGAACTGTTTAGCTCCACTCTCACTAGCACTGTAATGGGGATGTTCACCTTTCCGAGCTTTGAAAAGCTTGGTTCTTAAGTGAAGTAAGTGAGTATGATCTTTGACCTGTGACTGTTAAAAGGGCATCAATGCATCAGGAATAGAGTGATCACTCAAAAATAATATGCAGTATGTAGAGGAAACTTCTGTGTAGCATGCAGTGGAGTCACCGACTCAGGAAGGAGACACGGGAAGAGTCGGAGCTTTGATGTCAAACCACTGTGATTTATTTGGAGTTGGTACCAGAGTATTCACATCACAAATCCAAGAGTCAGAGGTTCTGACTCCACGGTAGAGTTGCCACGTCAATTCTGGAGAGCCTCTCTCTTGCCAGCCCATCTAACTGGTTTCGCAGAGAGTAAACAACATATTTGAGGAGATAGCCTAAACAGTGTGGGAACACAGAGCTACTTGCCTCGGACACTTATGACCTCGAAGATTTCACCTTGGAGTCCACAAATACAGAGAAGGAAGTGTCCCAGTGTACCCACAACACAGACCATCTGTATCCCAGTATTGACCGGTCACAGAATGGGAACAATAACATTATTGGCTAAGCCGCCTGTGTCCTTAAAGAAGGTAAACAGACATCGAGGTTTGTCCTGTATGTTACTAATTGGCGTCTTATGATAATTATTTCCACAACACAGTATAGAAGGTGAAGAAAAAAGAGGACACAGCTAGGTGCAAAGTAATGAAAATACCGATTGGTTACATGGTACAACTATGGGTTTTTCTACACAATTCCAATTCCTCACTATATACAATTGATGTATGGTTATTAACCACAAAGGCATTGTAAAGTCCTTTACCCTATGCATGCTTCATGTTGGGAATATTTGCTCTGGGTCTCTGCTTGGAGGTTTTTGACCTCCCATGGTATGTACAACATTGTGAGCCCCCACCAAGGTGGCTTGGTAAAGCGTCTTTGGGTTCAAGAAAAGCGCTATAGAAATATAATGTATTATTATTATTATTATTGGTTATAACTGATGCTGTTTGAGGTGGGATATACTATTTATAAAGCTGATGTGTCTACAATGTAAAGTTAGTTAAAGTTTATGTTATGACTTTGTCCATGCTTATGAACTTATCTGGTATCAGAATGTTTTATACTCAAGTATGGGCTGTTACGATCTCAGGCACTTAGGATGTTGGACCCAATTGCAGACAGGGAGACAGAGGTAAAGTATTGGTAAGATACTTTATTTTTCCAAAAAACACGATGAACAAAAGAAGGTCACTAACTAATCTCAGGATGAGATGACAAAAAATGAGACCAAAAGGAAAATCGCTCACGTAGTGAGGAACAAAACTATTCTTGAGCATTAAAGAGCATAGACCTGACCATGGCAAGAGACAATACGAACTGACACTGAACACTGGGAGACAGGGGAATTTAAACACAGGGTAACTAGACACAGGTGGGAACAATCAGGGGCGGGGCTGACACTGATGAGCACAGGAGACACACAAGGAGTGACGGGTGAAAACAATCAGGAAATTAGACACACCAGGGAACTAACGACAGACATGAAAACACAGGGAAAAGAGACCAGACAATATACAGGGAGGAAAACATGACAAGGAGAATGGAAAAACACCCACACCTAGACACGTGACATGACATAATAATCCTGACAGAACCCCCACCTCAAGGGACGGATACTAGACGTCCCTAAACAACACAAACAAAAAATCCAAAAGGTCCAGCAGGGTGGGTGGAGGGGGTCCGGAGGACGGGCCTTGACTGACAGCCCAGGTCACGGCAGAGGACCAGGAAGGGGTCTCGGGCGGACGGCCCGGGGGTAAGGCAGAGACCATGGATGGGGTCTCGGGCGGACGGCCCGGGGGCAAGGCAGAGTTCAAAAAGGGGAACTCGGGCGGACGGCCCGGGGCAAGGCAGAGTTCGAGGAGGGGGTCTCTGGCGCACGGCCCGGGGGCAAGGCAGAGTTCGAGGAGGGGCGAAGACCACAGCTCTCAGGGGACCGGGCAGGAGCCGGTGTTGACCGGACAGGAACCGGAGCCGGTGGGACAGGTGTCGGCAAGATCCCCCACGGAAGAGGACAAGGAGTTGGCAGGACCCCCGGCGAGACAGGTGATGTCGAGGCCTCCAACGAAACAGGACATGGGGTTGGCAGGGCCCCCGGCAGGAGAGTAGTCGGCGGGACCCCCAACGGGACAGGACACGACACAGGGCCGGCAGGACCCCCGGCAGGAGAGCAGTCGGCGGGACCTCCAACGGCACAGGACATAGGTTTGGCAGGACCCCCGGCAGAAGAGTAGTCGGCGGGGCCTCCAACGGCACAGGACACAGGGCTGGCAGGACCCCCGGCAGAAGAGTAGTCGGCGGGGCCTCCAACGGCACAGGACATGGGGTTGGCAGGACCCCCGGCAGAAGAGTAGTCGGCGGGGCCTCCAACGGCACAGGACACAGGGTTGGCAGGACCCCCGGCAGAAGAGTAGTCGGCGGGGCCTCCAACGGGACAGGACACAGGGTTGGCAGGACCCCCGGCAGGAGAGTAGTCGGCGGGGCCTCCAACGGCACAGGACATAGAGTTGAAAGGACCCCCAGCGGAACCTCCAACGACACTTGAGTAGGGACTTGAGTGGGAACTCGAGAGGAAACTTGAGAGGTGACTTGAGAGGAATCTCGAGAGGGAACTTGATCGGAGACTCGAGAGGTGACTTGAGAGGGAACTCGAGAGGTGACTTGAGAGGGGACTCGAGAGAGGGCTTGAGAGGGAACTCGAGAGAGGGCTTGAGAGGGAACTCGAGAGGTGACTCGAGAGGTGACTCGAGAGTTGACTCGAGAGGGGCCTTGAGAGTCGACTCGAGAGGGAACTCGAGAGGTGACTCGAGAGGTGACTCGAGAGGGGCCTTGAGAGTTGACTCGAGAGGGAAGTCGAGAGGGGACTTGAGAGGGAAGTCGAGAGGGGACTTGTGTCGGTCGGTACGCCGACAGGACACGGGGAGCTGGCGTCGGCTGGAGAGCCAGCAGGAGACGAGGTGCTGGAGTCGGCCGGTACGCCGACAGGACACAGGGAGCTGGCGTCGGCCGGAGAGCCAGCAGGAGACGAGGTGCTGGAGTCGGCCGGTATGCCGACAGGACTCGGGGATCTGGCGTCGGCCGATGAGTCAACAGGTGACGAGGAGCTGGAGTCGGGACCATGACTGCTGGGGCCGGTACTTGAGACGGAACCATGGCTGGAACTGGGGCCGGAACCATGGCTGTATGGGCCATCTCTGGTGCAGGGACCATGGCTGCATGGGCCGATTCTGGAGCCGGAAACATGGCTGTAAGGTCCGGTTCTGGAGCAGGGACCATGGCTGCTGAGGCCGGCACTGGAGCCGGAACCATGGCTGCTGGGCAAGGAACCGGAACACGGATCCATGGCTGTGTGGGATGGTACTGGAGCACGGTACCATGGCTATGTGGGATGGTACTGGAGCACGGAACCATGGCTGCTGGGTCCGGCACTGGAGCCGGAACCATGGCTGTTGGGGACGGAGCAGAAGCCTGGACCCTGGCTGTGTAAGCCAGGTAATGGAGTATGGACGCAAAGCTGCGTGGGCCGGTACTGGTGCACAGATCCATGGCCTTGTAGGCCGGTTCTGGAGTCGGAACTGGGGCTGGAACCCTGGCCTTGCGTCTCTTAGGAGTCTTTTGGAAGCTTCGTGGACCTCCAAACGCCAGACCAGACCCCAAGAAAGGGTCAGAACATGAAGACTGGCACTCAGGGCTACGTGAGAAAACCCTAAGCCACTCGGGCAACAAGCTCCAGAGCCAGGGCTTGCGAGCAACCTCCTGACATGCCTCCTTCAACGCAGCCTCTCTACCCCGTATAAAAAATGTACTCCAGAGAGTATCCAAGACGTTCCGCCTGTAACCTCAAAAGGGCTGAGTCTGCTGGGTCCATAATGGTCAGTTCGTTCTGTTACGATCTCAGGCACTTAGGATGTTGGACCCAATTGCAGACAGGGAGACAGAGGTAAAGTATTGGTAAGATACTTTATTTTTCCAAAAAACACAATGAACAAAAGAAGGTCACTAACTAATCTCAGGATGAGATGACAAAAAATGAGACCAAAAGGAAAATCGCTCACGTAGTGAGGAACAAAACTATTCTTGAGCATTAAAGAGCATAGACCTGACCATGGCAAGAGACAATACGAACTGACACTGAACACTGGGAGACAGGGGAATTTAACTAGACACAGGTGGGAACAATCAGGGGCGGGGCTGACACTGA